TTTTTGGATAAAATTGCGAAAAAATTAAAAAAACGTCGATTTTAGGGACTGAATAACCGTTTGCCACGCTTTGAGCTTTTTTTGGTTCTTCAAAGGGTCAAAGTTCAATCTGAGGACCAAGACGAAGCGATTGATATCTAACATGTATATGTGCTCCAACTATAGAGGTATCGTTTAATCTATTTTCGGGTAAAATCGTGAAAAAATTTAAAAAAACGTCGATTTTAGTGACTGAATAACCACTTGCCACGCTTTGATTAGGTGGTTCTGGGCTCTTCAAAGGGTCAGAGTTCCTTCTGAAGACCAAGACGAAGCGATTAGTACCTAATATGTATGTGTGCTTCAAGTATAGAAGTCTCTTTCACTCATTTTTCGAGGCAGATCGCTAGAAGAATAAAATAGCTTTAGCGAACAAATCAGTTTTTTGTTGGAAAAAACTTAAATCTGCCTTACAGAAAAAAATTGTTACTGCGAGGTACGGGCAGCAAATTGCAATATCACCATATTTGGCTCCAGTTAAGGTGCGAATTTTTGTAGAATTCCTCATATATCTCATACTTCTGCCCAATATAACTATGTCGTCAGTGAATACAAAAATTTGCGTTAATCTATTAAAAATGGATCCAGTTATTTTATTATTTAATTGTCTGATTGCCTTTTTTAAAGCAATAATAAAGAGGAGACACGCCAGCGCGTCCCCCTATCTTAAACTAGTATTAATGTCAAAGAACGTAAAGTTTTCTCCTTTAATTCTAACGCATGAGCTTACGTTTTGCATTGTTGGTTGGGTCAACTTAACTAACTTAGGTGGGATCCCAAAATCTATTCTTGCATTATATAATGCAGTTCGTTTCAACTGATATAGACTGTTTTGAAGTCGACGAAGAGATGTTGTGTATCTATTTTATCGATGTGTATCAATCTAGTAATACATACTAGATTGTAATTTAGCAATTTTTAGAGTTTTTATATCTATTAGATAGTCTTATACCTATCTCTTTTTCAATGGGAATTGCTAGTAATCCATCAATCACTTTAGGTTTAATAGACAAATAAATTATTGTTACTAAGATTATAAAAGAGTATTGAGTAGCAGTAACAATAGTTTTGTTTCTTCAATTACAGTTAGGAAATTTAAAAATCATTAACAATTTACTTAGTAAATAATTCGCATTTCATGTTCTACTAAAGGTTTCATCAAACTCAAACAAAACAATATAACCGAACCTAAATAAAGTTTCCTAGGATAAGATTTGGATAAGGATTGTCGAATAATGTTAATGTCGATATAAGGCGCTAGGTGCGCTGCGAAACTGTGCAGTACGGATCCTGTTACCAACGCACTTGTAGCAGCACACATAGGACATACATCACTTAAATAATATCCTTCTGAATGCTCTTCGGAAATCCTTATTAAAAATGGTATAAATAACGGGATTCAGTGCCGAATTCATGTAACCTGGAAGAGAAAAATAAGACATTAACAAAAAATTGTTGTTTTATTGTTACTCATGAAATAACAACAAATCAAAATATAGAAAATTAAAGTATATAGTACAATGGGCACTAGGATTTTTAGCATCGACTTATAAAATTAAACTTTTATTATAAAGCTATAATTGAACTACGAAATAAATGTAAATATATTTGTTTATTCACCTTAAAGACTTCGTTTTTGTAAATATGACTTATTGGTAAATTTTTGTAAGCTTTTCATGTCCCATTATTCTTTATAACTACTTTACAACCATACCAAATTTATGGGCTAGACAAAATACAGATTAGACAGGGGTAAAATAAGCAGTAGACATAGATATAACCTGAAAGCTCCTAATTAAGAAAAAATAAGAAATGTTTAGAGAAAAACTAAAAATAAACCAACCATCAACGATCCATAAAGAGAAGACGAAAATATTGTGGAAAAAGTATACAAAATCGTTTAAGAATATAATAATCAAAAATGCAAATAAAACAGTTAAGATGAAAAATATTAAAACAGAAAATAAATTGCTCTTGATACACAAGACTAGATACACTGACAAAAGAAAAAAAGATTAAAGTAAAAATGGGACAGAAGTGATCATTTAAGTTTATATCGAGACTCTTAACCAAGCAGACGATTAAATGTTTTCTTATAAAACTAAATAAATAAATAACTAAAACTAAAACTAAAACAACGAAATACCTTGGGTTATACCTGGACCAAACCATGTGTTAGGAAAAACATATCAGCCATAAAAAAAGAAAACAAAATACAACTAAGACAAAAAGAAATCAATTGGTTAGTTGGAAAAAAACTCTAAGCTGTCAATAAAAAATAAAATTTTAATTTATAAAACAGTTATCAAACTAATATGCACATATGGCATAGAGTTCTGGGGCGGTATTAGTAAATGCATTGTTGCTACAATATAAAGATGTCAATCAAAAATCTAAAGAGCAATTGTTGATGCACCTTGGTACATAACCAACCACAGAATCTATGAGATTTTAACATCTCAAAAGCAAAAGAAGTAATCCAGCAAAAGAAAACACAATACATTTAAAAAGTGAACACACACTCTGATATATTAATTTTCAAAATATTTCAACATCAAGTTATTAGAAGACGTAGAAAGTGACGTTGGCCAACAGATCGGTAACATAAACACGTAATTCTCTCACAGTAGGGGATCACATCAGTCCAGAATAAAGGACACGCCTAAACTCATCGGATTAATACATAGAATACACAAAAAAGTGATCATCTAAGAAGAAATAACATAAAACAGGGATAAAAAACAAGACTCAAGGGATAAAATGATATAAAGGATGCGGGAAAACCGCATAAAAGAAGTTTTAGAACAACATGCCCAAAAAAAGACCCAAAATTACAATATTATATCACAAAAAACGTTAGAAATATTAAAAAAAAATCAAATACAAAGGGCAAATATATAAAATTTAAACAAGGATTACTCCAAACTATAATTAACACCTGATATAGACAAATAAATTGAAATACATGAAACAAATCCCAGTACAGATATAATTACAATCCAGATGTACTGGAACAATTATAATGGCCGACACAAATTAGTCATTAAAATTTTACAGAAATTATTTAACAAGAAAAACTCCCAAATGAGTGGAACATTACTGTGATAGTTAAAATATCAAACAATGCGATTTACGAATATATGTCAAATAATTTGCAGTACCATAACTGAATTACATTTCTAAAATAAAGCCATCTTCGACACTTAAAATGTAATATAAAAACAGAACAAAAACTGAAAAGTAACCAAGCAGGGTTTCGTGCGAAACACTATCTACTATCAACTGCACCTGTACACTAAGAATTATCTTAAAACAAGCAGACTAATTGCAAAATGTCATAAAATTAATGTTTATTGCTTTCGAAACAGACATATATTGACAGATAACAGATGTGGAAGAGATTCGGGGAGAGTAGGGGCTACTGTGGAAATAAATCAATTTGATTAAATTATTCTATAAGAAAAAGAGTCAAAATGATTAAAAGGTATGTAAAGATGGCTTGAAAACAAAATAAGACATTTGGTAGAAAATATTCAAATAAAGTAGAATGATAAAGGCTAACTGGGCTAAATGAAAACCTCGGAGGAACTGGGAAAATTCTGATGGAGTGGGTATAGTTTAACAATAATTGGCTAACATCACACAATAAAAGTGTGTGGAACAAACTTTATAAAAGCCATTCGGGAGAACATTTTGGAGTCAAAAGAACACTGATCCGATTTCGAAACAGATTTCACCAGATTAATTGAAGAGAAGAGAAGATCAATAGAATAAGAAATCGTCGTAAAATGGCATAATATTTTTCCAAGGAGCCTTTTAACCACTCTGCAGTAGATATTCTCGGTACACTATCAATAACGGAGAGCGGAATGAAGTACTTAATGGCCGCAATGGATTATTTTTCATAAAATAGATTATTTACATGGTCTTAAATTGCAAACCTTGATAATTAAGAAGCGAATACAGTATTATATAGTAAATGAATAGTGTGAGATAATGGCAAATAGAGTGGTCAGAACAAAGAACGAAAGCAAATTTGACAAAAACGCATATATTCCTAACATAGAAGCCTACTTTAACTGTAAATTTAGACATTACAGTACATACTGCTTGACAGAATTTCTGACTTTCCTTAAAAAACTCACAGAACAAAGGTGGCACAGAACATTCAAACATCAGTCAGTAAAGAGAAAAGCTGGTAAAAAAAAAATAGGAAGGATCACACTACAAAACATAATTTGGAAAACCATAGCCAGCAAAAAGTATTTAAACATCATGGTATGGACTAGCAATAATTTAAAACGAAAGCAGAATGTGAGAGAATGCTATAAATTCGGTAAAATAAATAAAACAATGGTTGAATTTGAATCGAACACAACCGACAAGCTTGTATAGACTCGTAAATGTGGATAAATCATCCCAGTTGTACAACGAAGTAAAAGAAAAGTAGAAACTGTCCCAACTTACTTTTATGTTCAATTATGTTAAACACTTTTATTGGATTGCAAAATACATGGCTCTTTTTGGTTGAATCATCCACATTGTGCAATCAAATTGAATGGTGTATTTCCTCTTAAGACTACTCCATAGTACAATTAGCACTACACTGACCATACCAGAATCTTGTCACGTCGGAATGGTTCAAGGGGTAAGTCCGTGATAGAAATCAGCTTTCAATTTCCTTTGAATCATGTTAATTTACGGACAAAGAAAGGGACTGGAAGTTCTGGCCATAAATACAGTTTGGTCCTATCACAGGGATAGTAAACCACAAATATTAAGGGTAAAAACGGTATTCTACGTTGCGTTGGGTCCCGTTTTTATATTTTGTCTGTTTCGTAATGTTGTAAAATGTTGTAATATTGAAATTCTTTTTATTAAAATTTAAATTTATAATATTATAAATATATTTAGCTTTATTTTATATAATTAACGTATATAAATTGTTTTAAAAAACTTACCTAACCAAAAGGCCGTAGAAAAAAACAGTTGAGGAATATCGTAGGCCAACCTTAGTATATACATAAAGAAGAACGGCAGCCAACATGCTATAAAAGAACCCATAATTAGTCCTAAAATAAGAGTTGCTCTCTTTTCTTTTTGCCTCGCCAAACGCCTTTTTTCCCGCTCGGGGTCCTTAGGTTTATTCACTCGCGGTACTACGTACTCTACTAATACTTGTTCACTAGTCGGCGATTTGGGAGGCTTCTCTTCATTCCTGCTTCGTGTCGTGGGATGTTTGTTTCTCCCAAAGATCGGATTGCACAATCTAAGCTTTAGAGGTTTAATAGCTGCGCACTGCGCCACCACGCCCGAATCGGAACTACTCGGATCAAACTCGCTCACCATATCGGTGTCGATACCCATCGATGGCTGTCGACTTCGCGCAAGCGCCGCGGCCTGCTGCTGCAACTCGCCGTTAACTGACAGCGTCGACCCGCTAAATTGACATTGCGCTAAGGGGTTGCGCACTACTTGACAACCTGGTGTTAGAACCTGCAACAAAATTAAACTTTATTAAAATTTTAGTTTAGACAATATGGGTAAAATATAACAATACGGGATGTTTCTTTTACAATGGATGTTTCTAATGCAAAATTATTTACGAAACATGTGAATTTATTACATTTAAGTTAAAATAACCATATGAAAGCGTGATGCCAATAATTTTTACTAGCAGATCCATTAAAATCATGGATTTTGGCAATTTTTTTAAACATTTTTATTTCCGACAGCATATAATATACACTTGAGTACAAAAAAATGGACTCAAAATTATTTTGCGAATGTATGTCTCCTGTTTTAATCAAAAAAGGTGTAAATTTAAAAATATTTAGTGTACAATTATTAACCGTATTATTGAGTTTAAAAAAGTTTTGATTTTTGGTAAATCAGGTGAAGTATTACAAATAAATAATGCAACACGTACAGAGGGGGTCATAATTTAAACCATTGAAATCGACACGCACCCACTTAAAACATTTGGTTAATATCGTAAGCATCAATTTCCATAGCAACCCATAAGGAGGAGGTGGTAAACGAATAAAAACACAGAGATATGATCGATTTCTTGTATCTAAATCTCTGAGAAATCGACATTTGACTGGTGCTTATCTCAAAGAAGAGCTTAGAGAGGTCCGAGGTATGGATATTAGCGTTTGAACAGTCTATCAATGGAATCAGACTATCAATGGAATCAGACTATCAATGGAATCAGGTATTATTCTCTGACAAAAGTAGGATCTGCCTAGAGGGCAATGACAAGAGGCGTCGAGTCTATAGAAGGCCAGGGGAACGATTTGCTCAATGTTGTATACGAGAAATTGTGTCATATGGAGGTGGTTCTTGTATGTTTTGGGCAGGCATTTCCATGGATGGAAAAACCGAGCTGGTTTTTGTGCCTGGTGGAGGACGTGGAGGAGGTTTAACGGCGGATCATTACATCAATTGGTAATGCCTTTATTTTATTGCATGATAATGCACGATGTCATACCGCACGAGTCACCACCACCTATCTTTATACCTACAATAAATTGAAGCAATGCCTCAAGAATTGATTAGAAAGGTCATCCGATCCATGCGAAATCGATTGAAAAGTGTAATTAGGAATAGGGTGGTAATATCAGATACTGAAAAACAAAAAATTCATTTTGTAATTGATGATTTCTCTGTTCATTGTGTCTTTCTTGGGATAGTTCCAATGATGAATATTTGAGAAACTTGTAACGACAATATTTTGCCTACCACAGGGGCATTAATATAAGGTAGAAAATTGGGGGAAGAAACTATTGGGGGTGGAGATAGGGCAAGCAAAATAATCGCTACTGATGCGAACGGACACTCAGGGTTTCGTAGGAGAGCTGGGGTCGTGGATAAGTAAAAGATAAGGGCATTGGAATGGGGCAACTACAAAAAAATGAAATAAAGGGCTCTTGGGATAAACAAAATAAAAATTAAACAAGAAACACCTCAAGGAATTTAATATAGGGCGCCACTTGAGGTGCCTAATTATGCCTATTACAACCACTAGTTGTAACTAGGGAAATAATTAGAAAATAAAATCAAAACATATCTTTTTCAAATAAACTCAAAAAGGGTTAGCTTAAAAAAAAATAAATAAAAAGTTAAGAAAATAAAATTTAACCTTTAATTATGTGTACCACAAACAGTTACAAATACAAATAATACTAACAAAATACAAAAAAAAACGACTTACAATGGCGCTTTCGGTTTACAACTCTGGGCGTTGGGGACCCTATTTGCGCGACATTTTGTAGCGGTAACTATTTAAATATTTATTATCATATTTTTAAATGGAGCTTACTTACTGAGGTTAACCTTTTTTTAAAAACAAAAAAAAAACAAATTCAAAATTTATGGTTATGCATGTACCCAATGTCCGAAGAAAATAATGCTAACTGTCATACGCCAAGATTAAATATTAAAACTTTATAAGAATAATTAATATGACAGTTAGCCAATTCCTAAAATTAATAATAATCAAAATGTCCATTTTTACTTTAAAAATTTTAACAAAAAAAAATACCTGATATCACTGACTATTGTATCTCCTTTAAAAGTTTTGGCGTTGGAATTGGACTCCAAAATACAGCAAAACAAACAAATGAGTCTCACAAGCTGCAAAATGTTCTGGAGTGACTAATGACAACAAATAGATGATGAAAGCTGGGCACTAGATTATCTTGTCGCAATCTTCAAGGCTTAGCTTTTCAAAAACTCAGGCTCTTGCTCGAAACCATATGGACATCTTTTAAACTGATCGAAACGCCGTGTTTCAAATCCCTCAGGTAAAACACAGCACGAACAAAATCGGCGAGTAACTCAGACAAAAACTGACACATTACATCTGAGTATAAAATTCACCTCTTCATAAAAAATTGTTGGTTCCTTGAAGAATACCACCCAAGCACTTTTCCGTCAATATCATAAACCAACCTCAAATTGTAACTACACATGCTACCAAACTTCAATACTTCTGATGAAAAAAACTAATAACAAAAAAAACATTACGAATTTGATGAAAATTCGGACTAAACAAACGAAACCAACTGCCCTTGACAGCGGCTCCACCGATAGTGACGAAATTAAAAATTTGTTCGCTTAACTTGAAAATCAACGAACTGCTGAAATAGCAAAACCAACGAACGACGTAGATATCCTTTGAAACGCATTTACATGAAAAGAAATCGCCGCAGTAAAATAAACAACAATTAAATGGATTTATTACTCTACGACGTTAGAATGATTGAAAACACTTTTCGAAAGATACGAACTAAAAAACAGAAAACATTCTTCGTTTTATTAAGACGATTTCATATACGAGGCGACTTTAAATATACTTCAAAGAATCAATCAAATTTAAAATGCTACAAACTCTATTCGTATTGGATATTGTTTTTATAATGCGTCTTCCAAATAATGAACTAGCAGTTTTTGTAAGTTCAATAATAAAGTTACTGTTTGCACATTACATCTTGTTATTTTCATACTTCTTACATTAAAACAGAAGGTGTAATCTCAAATATCGCTTTTAAGTCGATTGTTTTGCACTCAAGTGTATTTCAATAAGTTTTTGAAGCAAAAACGGAGATCTAATATTAAGGAAAGCAACACCTCACGTGACACTTTTATTTAAACCTATACACTTTTTATTATCTTTGATTCAATGTTAATTTTTATTCTTGCAAACTTTTTTAAGATTAATCCACGTACGGGCTGGAACGAAACACTAAAGTAAAGAAAATATGAACTATATAAGTCCTTTTTATTTAAATATATTGTGGTCATGTTGTAGTAAAACTAAAATAGTAAAGTTAAATTCTTGTATTTATTTATAATACCAACGTTATATATACCCTTTAAAGCAACAATTAATACCATTATCCCCAGAGCTTAAAGGCGTCTTAGAATATTAGTCAGACCAGCATTATACTAATTACAGGGGGATGAATGTATACACAATGTAATTGACCAGGTAGGACTGACGGAACTGTAACCGTCTATTAAGCTACTGCATATTCATTCCATTTCTTCGCCCACTAGTTGCTATGTTACCTACATTTAAATTAAAGTGTGATTATCCTGTTTTATTTCAAATTTTTTAACTAATTATACGTAACTTGTTCTAATTCTAATTGTAATAACTCTAATAAACGTACTAATTCTAATGAATATTTTATATACTAATTAGAGTTGTAGAAATTGTAGCATAGTGGACAATATGCAGACACTTAAACCAGGGCGGATCTGTTTGAGGTGGATGTAAGATGCGGCATTCGAATTTTTGCAGAAATAGTTAGGTGATAACTTCGGTAGTAACAATTGATTTATCCTCCCTATAAAATTAGTCAGATCAAAAAAAAGTTATTTTTAACTTTAGAAGGTGACACTTTGATAGGAAATTTAATTTTGAACATCTTTTTTGTAGATGTATATTACAAAAAGTGTATAGTCCAAATATATTCTAGTGCTTGGGGACAAATTTGCCACTGTCTCAAAAATGCACCCCGTTAAATGGCAGTACTGTGCGGGTTTTTCATATTTTATGGACCCGTTGACTATATGAAATAATATAATTACTATTAAACTGGGAATAAGCCACAATTAAAGATAAAAATACGTTTATTGAAGTTTCAATTTCCACTTCGGAAATCGTTCTCAAAATACAAACAGTAAATTAAACAAATTTTTTTTTGTTACATAGTGAAAAATTCTTCTAATAATTTAATTTTATCTGACTTATTTATATTGACAATTCAGACATACATTATGCATTTTAAAGTAGACGACTTTAAAATGATATTGCCAATATTGTTGAGTTGCGCTCCTGGACGACTTTACTTATAAGATAGTTCATTCGATTACATGAAATCAACTTTAACTTGAGAATATCCGTCAGAAAAAAATCGTAGCATGTAATTCGTCTTTAAAAAGACAAACACATGACATGATAACAGTAAAATTCTCCTGTTAGTGATTCCATAGTAAATTATGAGGGAAAACCAGGAAAAAAAACTCATAACACTATCCCGACATTGTAAGTATTTGTTCGTGGATTTAGTTTACCTTCAACAAACATCAAAATTCTGATTTTATATGTTACGTTATTAAAAAAACATAAATGATGTATCCTCTATATGTTACTGACTTACTAATACTGGTATTTTATTATTAGTAACTTCCTCTTTCAATATTGGTAACCAGATCCTACTACATTCTGCCCAGGAATTTGCGACACAATTGGCCTCATTTAGCATAATTAGAGCCGCTTCTTTGATTTTTCTTTTTTTACCATCCGTTTCTCTTAGGACTACATTTGAATTATTCCATTGAACCCTATGTTCATTGTCCCATACGTGTTTACATATTTGAGATCTATCAAATTCTTTATTTTTAATATAAGATTGATGTTCACTTATTCTAACATTTAATGGCCTTGATGATTCACCTAAATAAAACTGATCGCATTCACAAGG